CCTTTTTAAAGTTTTAAATTAAATTATAACTTACATGCTGTAAAATATACCTTTTTCCATGTATTGCTCTGTGGGTTTTGACAGCATAGTTTTTAATTACTACCAAAATCAATACGCTTAATGGTCTGATCACACCCAAAACTCCTCCTGTGCTCCTCCTACATACCTCTCCCTATCCACAGACACTGGTAACCCCATGTGATCTCTAGCTCTAAAATTTTGGAGACTCACTTGTCCAGAAATGCACATAAATGAAATCAAACAGCACAAGGCCATTGAATCTAGCTTCTTTCACTTAGCATAAAGCACGTGTGATTCATCCGTGTTGTTCCATGGGTCAGTGGTTCCTTCTTTCCATTACTGGGTGGTATACCACTGTAGGGATGCAGACTCGATTTCCCAGCTGAGCTTTTGTTTTCAGATTTGGGAAATTACAAATAAAGCCACTAGAAAAACTGTGCAAATACATATTTTTATTTCACTCAGGTAAATGTTCTGAACACACCGCAGGGTCATTTGGTGTGTGTTTTTTGAAGCCACTGTCCCAGTTGACATACCCACTGGCAAGGTATGAGAGTCCCAGTTGCCCCACAACATCACCAATGTGTGCTAGGGCCAGTCTTTTCGGTTTCAGCTACTCAAACAGCTAAGTAGTGGTGTATCATAATGGTTTTTTTTTCACATTTTCCTCAGAACTGATGGTATTAAGCAACTTTCTATGTGCATAATTGTCATTGGTCTATATTTGTTGTAGAGATGTCTGACGAAATCTTTTACCCATATTTTCTAATTAATTTCCTAACATTTGAGTTTTTTCTCGTATAACACTTTTTATACATCATGGATACAATTTTATGTTATTGTAGCCATAATATATAAAAGACTATATACATAGTCTTTTACCAACCATGTGACTTGCAGATTATTTTCCCCCATCTGTAGATCATCTTTTATGGTTTTTATAGAGCCTTTTGAAGAGCATTAGATCTTAAATGGGAGGAAGTGTAATTTCTCATATTTTTTCCTTAAAACTCGTTTTTGGTTTTTGTTTATTTTTTTAAAGATTTTATTTTTAAGTGGGGCGCCTGGGTGGCTCAGTCAGTTGAGCGTCTGACTTCGGCTCAGGTCATGATCTCACAGCTTGTGAGTTTGAGCCCCGCGTCGGGCTCTGTGCTGACAGCTCAGAGCCTGGAGCCTGCTTCTGCTTCTGTGTCTCCCTCTCTCTCTGCCCCTAACCCCCTCGCATTCTGTCTCTGTCTCTGTCAAAAATAAATAAACATTAAAAAAAAAATTAAAAAAAAAAGATTTTAAGTAATCTCAACACCCAATGTGGGGCTCACAATTACAACCCCAAGATCAAGAGTCGCATCCTCTACCGACCCAGCGAGGCATCGCTGTAGTTTTATCTAAGTATTTGCTTAACCATGGTAACAAAGATTTTCCTCTATGTCATCTTCTAGAAATTGGGTAGTTTTATATCTAGGTCTGTGATGCATTTTGAATAAATTTTTAGAACAGGACTTAACTGAAACATGAGTTAAATGATCAGAAAAAGGGATGAATCAAGGATGGAAAATTGCTACATGGGGGGGGCAAAAAAAGCAACTGTTGAGATTATGATGTTATTCATAGAGGCAGAAATGACTGAGAGGATTAAATTTGTAGATAAAGCCTGGGGGAACCACTCTATGTGGGTCCATTAAGATTTCTATCAGAAAGGCACACTGATATGTCAAATTACAAGTTGGAAAAATGAGCCTGGAGTTCAGGGAATATCCAGGGTGACAGGGAAAGTCTGGAGGGAGCAACACTGGCCAATCTTAGTGAAAACTCCCCCAAATTCATTGACCTGAGGATGCAGAAGTAACCACTGGACTAAAATGGAGTCACTGGTGATTTGGGCAGGAATTGGCTTTGTGGCCATAGACGTGCCTGGGATGGGGAGTGAGGAGGAGGAGCCAGGGAAGGTGAGGACATGGAATGGAGCTGAGGGGGGTGGTGGAACTAGAGTGTTTTTCTTTCAGAAGAGTAGATACGAGGCCGCATTTGTATGCCGATAGGAGTAACCCAGGAGAGATGACGGAAGAGAAAGTGGAAACGGCAGGGCGAAACCATTTCGATGTGAAGAGAAAGTAGGATCCAGAGCCCACTTGGGGAGCCAGCCCTTGTCTACAGCAGCAGCCCTTTGTATATTGTGAGGAGAGAGGAGAGAGGGTGGGAGTCCTCCTAGAGGAAGTATATACTGTAAAAAGGTACTTTCTTATCCCATTTTCTGAAGGAAGAATGACTTGAGGTCATCAGCTAAACATGAGGGAGCCACAGAGTGTGAGGTGGGTTTAGAGAGAAAGGAGAATCTCCGAATAAAAGTGAGGAACAAACATGGAGTGTCAAAGTGTCAGACTTGCATGACCACACATATAATGCTGCAAAATAAACACATCATAATTGTACAGCTCAGTGAATATTCCCAA